CTCTGTTAAATTCTATGAGGTGTTTGGGATCTATTCTGACTCGCTTAATGTGATGATCATGGTATATTAGGACCATACATCTCCTCGATCATTTTTTCCCACTGTGTTGTACTTCCAAAGAGACTGGTGTCCATATTATTGAAGTTTGGTCTTGTTGGTTGGAATATGTGTGGGTGGGGTGGTTGATAGAATTGAGATGTTGAATCATTTTGGAAACGAAGCAACGGTTCTTGAGGTGTCTGAAATCCGTATGATGGTTGGGTACTTCGATGGTGTGATGTTTGACTGTATGTAGGTTGGGTGGTATGGTAGGAAGGAGAGATATCATATGTGTATTCGGTGTTGTGGTAGAATGCGGAGGATGCATATTATTGGCGGTGGGTCGGGTCATGCTCTTGGTATTGTCTTTGTGTGTGTGACATGAATTGATGATTGATTTGGTTGGATGTGGTGGTGTATGGTTGTTGGGTTTGAGTGAGTTGACATTGTCGTTGGGTTTGGTATTATTGAGGGGTTGGATGTTGGGGTTGTTGTTGGACGTATGATGCAGCTCTTTGGCGTGGATCGATCAAATATGTCTCATGAGACAAAAACAAATTTGTTGAAACCGATGTGTACCATGTCAAATATTGGAGAGTTGATTTACATTAAGGCGCCATTCAATATGGCTTGTTCCTTTTTGCATGCATGCAAAGCTGCAGCGTGGTAATGATCAAATGACATGTATGCAAGCTTGTCGTTCACGTGACAAGCCACCAAAGTTAATGCATGCTTACAAAAATTATAGGACAAGCCACCCTAGGTGGCACATATGTTGTAATTTTAGAAGAGAAGTCATCTTGGGTGGCACATTAGTGTTGTATTTCACATATTTTCATCCATCTATTTAAGCGTATGTTTAAGGCGCATTACTGGTGTACATCCATAACTCACAAAAACATACCTCAACATATGGATCATTCACAATATTATAATATTGTTGCTCATATTAACCGTGAGACGTTCAACTGCGATAACTTCGGTTTTAATTTTTGTAATACTGATTTTATCCACTTTAGGACAAACAAGAAATCAAGTTTTGCAAGTTTCAAAGATAGACTAGAAGCAAAACTGCAGTGTGATCTAGTTTACCAAATTCTTTACAAGTCTCCATTTCTATTTGACAACAACCAAGTCAAATTTTTTCAACTAAAGGTGCACGACGATGATGATGTTCGAAACACGTTTCAAACTCATGAAGAATCTGAGTTCAATGAAATTGAGTTGTATGTTTTATTACAACAATCTGATCAATCACATGTGGTAGATCCTTCTCAAGATTGTGAAGAAGAGGATGAATCTGACGGGGACAACCACCCCGAAGTCGATGTTATTGGCCAAGAAGAAGAAGATGATGAGGCAATGATTGATTTTATGGTCAATGATGACGCTGCAGAGCATGAATCTCTACCTACGAGTCATGCGTACGACCCTCCATTTCACATGACGAACTTGAATTTGGGGGAAGATGAACCAACCTCAGATATCTTTCACAATTCTTATATGCAGGCCGAAGGGGCCTTGAAAGTTGGAGATAGATTATGTACAAAAGAAGAGTGTGTTAGACCTATAAAAAAATACCACATGGAAAGGGGAGTCCCAATAGCACTCGTATTAGAACTGAAATGGATACATCCAACAAAATGATAAGATTATGCAGTACATGTCGTCTTCCCGGACACAATCGAAAAACTTGTCAGAATATTGGGTCTAGCTCTGCAACCTAATTTTTTTATAGCAAACTTTCTGGAGTAATTAATTTGTTGTAAGAAATAAATTTCAATTTAAATTCGGGTTTTCATTTCGTGTTCAAGTTAACATTCGATTACAACAACCTTCAGATAATGGTCCAAAAAATTACAACACGACAAACTCATGACAATTACACAAAACACAACAACGTGATAAACAGACAAAACAACTAAACACATCATAATATCTAAGAGATAAAAACCATCAACACAATATCGTCTGGTCCAAGCATCATCATCATGACATCAACGTCAAATCTCACTTTTTTTCATGAACGACTTACTCATTTTCCGTTCCTCACTGTAATTTGCCTTTCTATATTTCTGAATTTGTTCACCTTCAAGAATGTCTCCTTCAACCATCAAATCAAGTGCTTCTGAAAATGCTCGAACGTCTGCGTGTTCAAGAATTTGATCTTCATCGAAGGCTTTGTCGCTGAAAAAATAACATGAGCATCTCTTTTGATCAGTGAAAACCTTGGCAATGGAGTAGAAAACATTAGCAAAAGAGTGAAAGACATTTTCTAAGAGTGATGTGAGAAATGGTGTGAAAAATAGTGAAGATGAGTGGTTGCATTTATAGAAAACCAAATGCAACTGTCATGCCATCAAAGGTGGCACATCCTCTTTAAAATTACATGCATGCGCTACACTGCATGGCACTACGTAGGAGGATAAGTCATGCAGTGTGGCGCCTTCTCTCTAACTTACATGCATGCGCCACACAAAGTGGCTTGACCTCTATGTGATAATTTTATTTATTTATTTAAAAAGTGATTATTTTGACTATTTTTGAAAAAATAATTATTTAAAAATTAAAAATAATTATTTAAAAAAAATTCAAAGAATATACTTTAATGGTTTTCAATAATATGTCAAAATTGCCGCGACCAAATCTAAATCTAATGTGTAAGCTAGTTAATTCAAAATTTCACCTTATTTTGTTAATAATTGCAACAACAAAAAATTAAAATTAAATTTTTTGTAGTGCTAATTTTATAATTTAAATAAAGATATTTTTTTTCTAATATACCTAATAAAATAATGTATTATCTCTTTTTCTTTTAATAAATCAAATTTTTGATTTAACCGTGTCACTGATTTCTTTTATATATTATTATATGTTTAATTAAAGTATTAAAATTCTTTTTATAAAAATAAACATAATTATTTAAAAATTAATTTTATCTGTTACATTATATATATATATATATATATATATATATATATATATATATATATATATATATATATATATATATATATATATATATATATATATATATATATATATATATATATATATATATATATATATATATATATATATATATATATATATATATATATATATATATATATATATATATATATATATATATATATATATATATATATATATATATATATATAATTTTTTAATTATAAAATTAAACATATAATTTTTAAAATTAATTATAATTACTATTATTCTTTGGTAATTAATATTATTTTATAAATTTAATTTTTACAATAGAGAAAAATAGTTAATAATATTTAATAATATTATTAAATATTTATTTATTTATTTTTGATAAATCAGAAAGATATTATTACCAATAAACTTATTAAATATTTATTGTAAATTACCTATGTGACGTAATAAAAGATATATTTATAAATCAATATAGCTGAAGTTTTTTATATTTTTTAAAAATACAACTAAAAAGCATTCCATAATATAAGAACAATATATAGTTTAATAATAATTTAATTTATATGTGTTGGTTGAATAAAATGAATGTATATTATTGGTCTATGATTTTAATTTTAAATGATAACATTTATTTATATTTATATATTAATATAAATTAATTAATTAAATTTTAAAATTTTAATTTAATTTGTTTTTCTAAAATATAAGATAATTTAATAATAAATAAATCGACTAACACACACTAATACTTATATTAGATGTGACAAATGAACCTACTTACTCTCTTTAAGTTTGTTAAGCAAAAACTTGTAAAAAAAAACAAGCTAATATAATTGAGATTGGAAATCTAAAATTGTAATTCGCTTGAAAAAATAAAAGTGTAACACGACAAACATATTAGAACATATTAGAGGGTGTAATTTAGTCCCATCCCACAAAATAGTGCTCCATTTTACCCCATATATTTTATTATAACTAGCTAATGAAATGCGTTTTTCTTTCAATAATAAATTCATTTATTTTTAATTCAACATTTTCATAAGCAAATAGTACATGTGAATGATTCTCGTGAGAATTATAATATTCATTTTTTTTTTTTGCATTAATGAAAAGCTTGCTTCAAAACGTTTCCTTATAGTAATATTAAATTTCTTAGTTTGACTGAGACTTGTAAGTAATCAACAAATTATAATTTCCACAATTTCCTTACAATTACAATAAGAAAAATAGTATATTAATATTCAAAAAAAAAAAAAAAAAAGCATATAAGAAAAGAGTATAATAATTAATAATAATAAAAGAAAGTATATAAGAAAAGAGTATAATAATTAATAATAATAAAAGAAAGTGTAGACTCTGACCAAAAAAACTGCTGCCAGGTTGAGAACAGAAAAAAATGTTCACATTCACACAATTCACACGCAAAAGAAAAAGTTTTTGTTTTTTATTTATTTTAATTAAAATTGTTTACATCATCATCATTATTATTACCTTGCATTTTTCTCATTTTATATTTATATATATTTATATTTTTTTTTCATTTTTACTTTTATATTTTTTTATGTGGATGTTGTTAATGTCATTGTTGTTCACTTGTTTCTGACAAATCTCATATTCATTTTTCTCTGAAACTCAAAAGCTGTTTGTTTCTGTTCATTCTCCATTCCCCAAAACCAAACAAACATCATCTTGTGTTTGTGATTCCTCAAAAAGCTACTTTTGTTTTTGTTTTTGTTTTTGTTTCATCATCTTAAACTCATCCTTTTGTTTGTTTTTCCATTTTCCTTATCTGGGAATTTTTTTGTCATTGTGTATATTGTAAACAAACAAAACTTTATGAGTTGTGGACCATTGATGTAAAGTTTTGAGCTTTTTATTGTACTTGTTTTTGGGTTACTGTTTTTTTTTTACAAGAGCTTCTGTTTTTAATCAAACAGAAGCTCTTGTTTTGTTTTTGTTGAAGTTTTGTGCTGTGATCTCTTTGGAATAGAGAAGTTGAAGGGATCTGAATTGTGATGGAGAAAAGTGTTGGTGTTGTTGATGGAGTTGACTCCAAGTCTTGCTACATGCAGAAGTTTAGGCTCTATGAAACTCGTTCGGTAAAGATGATCTTATTCTATTCTTATCATTGATGCTTACATTATGAACTTGATCTGAAACATGTGAATTTTTTGTTTTTGTTTTTGTTTTTGTTGTGTTACTATGTTTCTATGATGTTGTTTTGTTTGTGTTCAACTGTTTTTGTTTTTGGTCAAATTCATGTTCATGTGCCTTGTTTGTTCATATATTCATATGGTTCATGAGATTTTTTTCATTTGAGCAAAGGAATCAAAAGGGTTGTAATTTGTAAAGATTGATTTTTTGTTTTGGTTTTGTTTTGTATAACATGAATGGTTTTTGACTTGGGATTTAGATGCTTGTCGCTGTTGTCACGATGATGGGATGGTAGAGTTTTTGAATTTGGTTTGATCGGATTCGTGTGGATTCTTCAAGAAAATGCGTTTTTTTCATTTGTGTTCTTCGTAATGTTTGTGATTATGAATAACTATTATTGAGAAATGATTTTGCAGTAAAAGGCTTATGGAGTACTATACTCCGCCCATTGTTTTCAGATTATGGGAGCATTTGGATATACAGATTAATTAAGTGATTATTGTATAAGCGTTTATGTATAAGCTTTTCTCAAATTGAAGAGGGAGTTCGGGTTAACTTAACTCTTTCCATAGTTGAAAACAGCTTATGCCAATAAGCTATTTGGAGGAGCTTATGAAAATGAACTGAAATCAATCATCTGATGTACACATCATAAACTATTTTCATAAGCTCTTTCAAACTCTTACACAAGCTTATTTCCCACCATCACTGTCATGCATGGTGAAATTTCTTTTTTTTTTCTTCTAAAAGGATAGTTACTACTTTTCTTTTCTTGTCTTATTTTCGGATTGAGGATAGCTATGTATAGATATCTAGAATCTTTTGCTGAAAATTTAGCAAAAGCCAATTAAGGAACTAATGTTATTAACTAAAATGCCGCTTTCTTCTTCTGGAAATGAGATCAAAACGGAAACATCCTTTTCTTCCATAGATAACATAATGATAAGCTATTGATATGTAAAGACATCTCAGTTTGATTTATGATAGTTACATGATAGTTACGAGCCTTTTCTGACACTATCTTTTGTCTATGCTCAGAGATTTTACATGATCGGAAGAGATAAAAGCAGAACATTTTGGAGGGTCTTAAAGATCGATAGATTGGAGCCATCCGAGTTAAATATCGTCGAAGATCCTACATTATACTCAGAAGCCGAGTGTTGTGACATTTTGAAGCGTATTCATGACGGAAACAAGTCCACCGGAGGGCTTAAATTTGTTACAACTTGCTATGGAATCATCGGTATTTTCTATCTTCTATATAATAGTAAAACATTTATTGCTATACTAGTGGTTAATTTCAACATTATTTGTCTTAATAACTAACCCGCGTTTTTTTATTTAGGATTTATCAAATTTCTCGAGCCATACTACATGTTGCTTATAACGAAAAGGAAGAAGATTGGCACGATATGCGGACATGCTGTATATGCTATCACAAAGAGCGAAATGGTTCTGATTCCACATCCAAGTGTGCGATCGAAATTGGCATATTCTAAGGATGAGAACAGGTCTTTAGTCAATTTTACATGTACCTGTAATGTGTCTAGGATACATTTCAGGAGACATATAAGAGTAGCATCGAGAACTATACTTTGTCCATTGTACTTACCTGAGGATTATGTTATTGTTATGAATTATGTTTTTCTATTCGAGTTAATTAAATCGTGTAGCGAAAACGTTCTGTTAGATCATCGTTATTATACTTGTGTTATATATTTGTTGATTTGTCGATGTCTTCAGTGCATATGCACAATGCGGGCTTCCTCAAGTCAAGCCTCTCGTCTTTCTGTGGTACTCTCTAATTGTTTCACTCGAGATAGAATTCAGAGTCGTGTAATATGTTTAGTATAGTAGATACTAGATTCCTCCTTGTTGTTTTCATTTTCATGTTCTACAGGAGCAATCTTCATTGCTGTTATGATGTAAATATAACTTTTTGAGTAAGACAAGGTATTGGTATTTCCACGGTTCGCATGGGAGATCGCATTCTTTTCATTTTTAAATATACATTTGGTTAGAGTTATTGGTTTCATAAGTTGTTTTTTTACGCTTTTATATTTATATTCCTCCGTTTAATATAAACCGTCTTGTTAATTGACTTTTCTCTTTCTTTTGTTGTTAATTAGATACAAGAAGCTTCTATGCAGTATGGATCTTACGAAGGACTTCTTTTACAGCTACTCGTACAACATCATGCTAAGTCTTCAAAAGAACTTATCTGGCCATAATGTTATCGGACAATCACTTTATGAAACACTTTTTGTTTGGAACGAGTTCTTAACTCGTGGAATCAGGAATACTCTCCAGAATACTTCCTGGACTGTTGCTTTAGTCTATGGCTTTTTTAAACAGGTACTTACTGATTCTCCTAAGTTTGTTTTTGGTGTAAAACTTTTCTTGACACGGAAGAAACGATCCTAGTGTTACGTGTTTTTAGAAAATTTTGGTGTTTTCTTCTTGACAAGTGTTCATTTCGTGGTAATGGTGTGTAGGTTAACCTTTCTATATCTGGCCGTGAGTTCAACATGATAATCATCGCTAGGCGCTCAAGGCACTATGCTGGTACCAGGTTCGTACTTCTCTTTAATTTTCCCTAATTAATGGCCGCCATTCTTTACTAGTTTTTTCCGAGTACTTCATTCTTGTCATTGCTTATTTCATGTTTCCCGACTTATTCAAGGTTTCTTTATCTTGTGGTGCAGATATTTGAAACGAGGAGTCAACAAACGGGGTAGAGTAGCAAATGATGTTGAAACTGAGCAGATAGTCTTTGCAGATGCTAGTGATGGATCCCCAATGCAAATCAGTTCCGTGGTGCAACTACGGGGTTCGATCCCTCTCTTCTGGTCTCAAGAAGCCTCGCCATTGAACATGAAACCTGATATTATATGTACAGTATCTAAACATCTTTCCTTTGTTTCTCACTTAAGTTTGGATAAACAACTTAATTTAGCGCTTATAACATAAATGCTTATCATGTAATGTTTATGTTTAAGCCATTTTTATAACAAGATAAAATAAAGTTACATTGTTTCTTATATAAGTTATAAGCCATTTTCCTAAGGTAGTCTCCGAAATTGTCTCATAAGTGCTTATGCTATAGCAGATAAGTTCAAATAAGTTAATCCAATTTCCAAACAGGCCCATACTATGTAATTTACACTAACTTCTCATTTTGGTTGTTTTTCTCTAGTATCACACAAGGATGCGATGTTTGAAGCCACAAAACTTCATTTTGACAATCTTGTCACCCGATACGGAAATCCAATAATTATACTGAACTTGATTAAGGTAGGCCTATATGAATATGTAAGGAAATCGTTGAGCATGCTTAATTTCTGTCGCTTTTCTAAACTAAAAGATTTTCTACCTTTTATATTATTGTATCTTTTGCGTTAAGACTCGTGAGAAAAGGCCCCGTGAAACTATTCTGCGAACCGAGTTCGCTAATGCTGTTAAGTCTATTAATCAAAATTTGAGCAAGGATGAACGCCTGAGGTTTCTTCATTGGGATTTGCATCGACACTCAAGACGGTAAGTTTCTTTTCCTTTTTGGTACAAGCTCTATGTGTTTTTTCTCGGGTGTTATTTTGACATTATTCGATCAACAACTTTTAGCAGCAAGGCCACCAATGTGCTGTTGCAACTGGGAAAAGTGGCTGCGTTTGCGTTGAAGCTAACTGGCATCTTCTACTGTCCAGTAACACCAAACATGAAGCTAGAGGGATTATTCCCGTATTCCTTCTCCGAGTAAGTACCGTAACAAAACAACACACTTCGTTGACCTTCTTTGCTGTTGAGATTTGATTTGACTATTTAATGCAGAAATAACCATGTCATTGATGAATCCGTTGCGGTACAAGATAGTATAAGCAACGATGAGAACAAAGATTACAATGTCAAACCGAAGACACTTCAATCAGGCGTGTTGAGGACAAATTGCATCGATTGTTTAGACCGCACCAATGTTGCGCAATATGCTTATGGACTAGTTGCACTTGGAAGTCAGTTACAAGCATTAGGATTTACGGAAGACCCACATATTGATCTTGACAACCCTTTGGCAAAGGAAGTAATGACAGCTTATGAGTCCATGGGAGACACATTAGCCTTTCAATATGGCGGTTCTGCAGCGCACAACAAGGTAATCTTTCTATTGTTTAGCGAAACCATCACATTCTTTTTGTGGAAATTTTTATCTGATTACGGTTCATTTCTTCCGATATCATTTGATTCGTCTTTCTATTTAGATATTTTCTGAAAGAAGAGGTCAATGGAAAGCAGCAGCACAATCCCAAGAACTTATTCGAACCATACAGCGTTATTACAACAATACCTATTTGGATGGTGCTAAACAAAAAGCAATTAACATGCAAGTGAAATAGACTTTTTTTTTTTGTTGTAATTTTACTATACAAAAAGTTGTATATTTATGGTAGTTGCATTAAACAAATTAGTTAATATCTTGTTTGATATATTTTTGGCAGATTCTTGGGGCATTTTCAGCCACAGCAGGGAAAACCATTACTTTGGGAGCTTGATTCAGATCAACATTACAATGTTGGAAGTTATGGCCCGAATCTAGCCGATGGAATCGACGGGTATAATCGGATTTTTCAGTTGCACAATTTTTTTTGTCATTTTCATTCAAGAAATTGTTTTGAAGATTGAAAAATGCTATTTGTTTGTTTGGTAGGTCATTTATTAGAAGATCACAATCCGATGGCAACATTATTGACGAAAGCGATGCTACAATTAGGAATTTACATGCTCCAGACTGTCAACACTCATCTAAAAATCCCGATAAACGATCTCTTTTGAAGTCTGCCTCCGACACATTCAGTTGTGAAAGTTCTATTTGCAATTGCAGGTATGCTTAGTTCACATTTTGCACGACGCAGACTATGTGTAATTGGATACATAGTCTTGACTTGATATATTTTTTTTACTCAAGTCATCCAAATGTTTTGAAATTTACGTGTGATCAATTTTATATAGGCAAATTTATGGAGGAATGGGAAAAGACCAATATAGTGAAAGCGATCACATTTGTTATGCGGAACATGGAGATGCATGTGATTGCTCCAATTTCCTTGATGTGGACTCGCTTTCTTCTGGAAATTCTTGTGAAGAGGAACTACTTGAAAGGTTTAGTTGTCAGATTTTGATTGATATTCTTATATCCATGTTATAATCTTGTTGCGATCTTCATCGTTGGCCTCGGGCTTTCTTCAAACCTTGATCAATGGTATAAGGGGGTATATTGAATTTTGCTCGTGAGAATGAGAAGAAGTTCCGGCCTAACATAGTTATAGAGGCTAAAACAAACTTTAGGCGAGGTCTTTTTTAATGTAAAATACCAAAGTGAAAATTTTGGTGGAGGGTTATAATACCGAGTATGTTTACAATGTCGTTGTCAAAGTGGATTTCGTTAGTTGTTATAGCCGGAAAGGATTATAATATTTTTCCGTAGTTGACCGGATAGAAGTATAGTTTTTGATAGAATATTATGGCGAAAGTTATCCATGTAGCCGACCCTACTAAGTGGGATAAAGCTTGATTGTTGTTGTTGAGTGAGAAACTTTGTGCTTAACATATCAAATTTTGTTCAAATCCGCTAGATGATAGTTTTTTGTTGTGCTTTTTAGTATTTTCTGTTGTGAGTAAAGACAATTACATTAGCTATACCGCAGATTGAACTCGAACTCATGATCCATAGATTTTGTGCTCCGCTCTCAACTACTACACCACCTACACATCCCTACGAATATTGTAATATCGTTTCGCCTATTAGTATTACCAAGGTTGTTAAAATCGGGATCTTGCACAAGATCGGGAGGGGAAAGTAAGATCGTAAAACATAAGATTGTAACTAATATCGGAAGATCCTACTCAAGTATTTTTGTAAGATCGAGAGTGTGTAGCAAGATTGCAAAACATAAGATCGTAACAAAAATCGCAAGATACTACTAAAACATAAAATAATACTACTACATATTTGAAGTATTTCTACATGATATTATCGCAGGCAAGTGTATTCGTAGGAAAATGGACGCCACCGAACCATGATTGTTGTGCTTTGTATCTTGTCATCCTTCTCAAACCTGAAATGGTGGTGGCTGGAAAATGGCCGATCGTGGCCGGAATTGGCCAAGATCGCACATAATCAATGTTTTTACCATTTTTTTTACAATTTCACTACAACACACGATTCTACTTAAGATCTAGATTGTTGAGGCTGAGCAAGATCCTAAAGTCGTAAGATTTTAAGATTTAAATCGAGATTTTGATAACCACAGAGTATTACTATTTTCTATTTTCTATTTTCGAGGCCTAGCAAACCTTAAGTTCTCTAGCGAATAACATATCTAGAAACCTTCCCTCACTTTCATCGGTTTGCGTATTAGTGAAAGGATTTATAACCTATTTGAGTCGACTTATTTGAGCTTATTGTTGACATAAGCACTTTTGAGACTATTTGGGAGAATTTATGGAAATTGCTTATGAGTTCAACTTATTTCCGTAAACACTTTTAATCTAGCTTATGAAGACAACTTGTAGCTTATATGAAAACAATATAACTTCATTTTATCCTTTATTTTAGAAATAGCTAATACATAAACACTTATATGATAAACTTTAACGCGATAAGCGCTAAATTAAGTTGTTGATCCAAACAAGGCGTTAGTCAGTACGGACTATTATTTGTGAATTATCATGTTAGCCTATGGTTTTACGATGAAATGAATTGGCAAGTGGAATTAGGAGGACATGAATTTCATTTTTGAAGCATAGAAGTGAATCTGAAATGAGCTACGCGATATTTTGATTTTTTGCGATATAACTATTTGGTTTAGAGGTCTAAATATTGTTGTTGATGATGATACAGGTCAATCAGCATCACCTCAGACCATATTGTGAATGAACAAATAACTGAGGTTCCTGCAAGTGAATCTGGACCTATCTTGAAGGTCAGTATATATTATCAGTTCTAGAATCATCAAGGAAAATCGCTTCCTCTCAAACAAGTGCTTAAATATAAACACTCACGAGACTGTTTGAGAGAGCTTATGAAAACGTGTCACTGATAACAACATGACATGTTCATAACCTCTCCAGGATACCTTATGGAAACAACTATATTTTACGTAAAAACAACTTATACGATAAGCGCTTATGGTCAAATTTATTGCTTTCAATGTGTTTCAGGAGAAGCAAAGTGAAGAAAAACTGAACAAAAGTGGAAAACATACTGATAGCTTTGAAAAGTGGGTGACTCATGGTGAGATACTATATATTTGAGACTTAGTGATATCGCCTTATCCGAAGGATGAGGAATTCATGACTTTGATGTACAGAAAAATAAATGGTAAGATATAATCCAAAAGCTAATAGAAGTTGCAGAAGCTAAGAAGCTGATTTTTGTTCAACAGGGCATTTGAGTTACATTACATATCATATTTTCATTTGGGAGGTAGTGGTAGAGATGTTAATAAGTCATGAAAATTTTTGTGCCTCATCAATTAGGTATACATTATATCAAACATTCAAAAGTTATTTATCATGTATATAAGTTAATTTCATTGAAAAAAACTAAAAAAATACATAGCTGGTACTCGGATTATTACAATTGGCTTGGTCTTTACAGTATTTCCACTTACTATGCCCGTTCCATAATGTTTCATTTTTTTCGGGTTTATGCGAAATAGGTCTAAGCGGAGCGAACATGCCCGTTTGACATCATAGAACTTAGTTTGGATGGATTATGGCATCTCTAATGTGCATCAATTTTATTATTTTTGTTTGTTTGTTGGTGATTCACTTTTTCTTTAAGATGTCAATTTTGGTTGTGGTGAGAATGTGTTTGGAGAAAAGTGTTTCTAATGTGTTTTGATGTTATGTGGCAATATAATATATTATCTAAACGGAATAAATCAAGTCTTAGATTTAATGTTATTTACAACAAACTCTTTCAAATTAGTCATTAAATATCAACCATCCTAAATTTGTAAGTAAGTTAGTTGAATGGTTGGATTGGTATAAACAATTGTTTAACCCTTATTGTTTCAATGTACTACCTCATATCTCAAAAAATATTTGGGTAAAATCATCTCTCGCAATAACAATCTCATTCACATTATAGTCAATTTTCTTTTGGAAATTTCTTATTATACTCTATATTTCCAAAAAACAATTTATGCAATTCTTAAAAAATTTCTTCGTTTTTGGAGATACATCTTTGGACTCACTTTTTTTATTTATAAGTTTACTTTAGAGATATATATTCGAAAATGTGTTGGAGATGCATTTTCGAAATTTATGCGGATAAAATTAGACCATAATTTTCAATGTTTCTCATGTTTTAACTATAAAATAAATACAAAGACTATATTCAAGACTATATTAATGACATGAATACAAAGAAATATATTTAGATAATAGTCAAGACTACAAAATGTATCCAAAGTCGATAACCAAAATATTATTCAAATATAATCAAAAGTCAATAAACAAAATACTATCCAAAGTCGATAACTAAAATACAATCTAAAGTGTAAAAATGTCAAGACTACTGCGTATGTCGGACTATGAGTCGGCCTCATACACTCCCCGCGTTCATGCGTTGTCTCCTGTACTACAGAGCCTCCCAAGCCTCCGCCAGAATGGCATCTAGAACACCTCTCACCTGAGAGCCATCAAGAAACAGTCCACCATCAATACCCGCATGTCAATCTTCATGATACGATGACACCTAGGAAACACATCATGTGCATGATCGGTCCTAACCTGCTTCTCCTCTAGAATCTCTTGATGAGCTGGCCTAGGTGATTTTCCTAGAGCATATTGTACCAAATATGGAAGAGACACCTTGAAGAATCATATACTGTAATTGTCCACGTAGCTCCATTCGCCCGGTGCTATGGTACTCAATGCCTCATCTGATACCAGATGATTAACATAATAATCAAACAAGATATTATATCCCTGTGTTTCACCAAGAGAGGAGCAGACACAACACGATCCCTGTAAATGTAATGCATGTAGCCGAACTGACGCATGACGCGCTCTGGCATATGAACAGTCGTCTGGCACCACCCGCATATCAACTCTAACACCCCAATTCTACCCTGATAATTATTATAGAAATTAGAGTTATTAAATTTCCAACAACCAAATCAGGATGCTACAATTTCAACTTAAAATAACGACATTTAACACAGATACATAACACTTTAAACTCGGATGAACTAACAATAACATAAATTAATCTTTAAAACCAACAACTTTCATAACTACGCAGCGGAATCATAAAATTCGACTTAAAAGAATATAACATCTTTATTCAACTGAAATTACTCCAAATAACAAGTACTTAACGAAAATCAACTTAAAATTCAACAATTGAAGTAATAACAATGATAAAGCAACAAACGTTCATCCCCCAAGTGTTACGTATCAGAGCGACGACACCGACTCGAACTACTGAAAATAAATTGCCTTCACTCTGGATTACCTGCATGTTACCAACATATGGGTAACATTCAAACAGAAGGGGTGATATATCGAATAATATAATAGAATGTATGATAAATAACAATATTAGAAAGAGTTCATACAAAATCACCACTTCGCAGCTCTTTAACAACATTAACACCATCAATCCATCCACACAACAACTCAGGATGCAACATGTAATGTGACTTGTTTTTATGCACATGCATGTGGTACCCATGGAGAAAAAATTCGAACTTAATAATGTGTCAATTAATAGAGGCATCAACAAGGCATAAGCCTTCAACTTTATATTGCCAATCCAGACCAACTTACCGAGCATGAGCTCCAACTTGATATGCTATGTATGCGACAACAGTATGGATGTAGTAACAACCACAACAATAATTCAACAACAACTTAACATAATTCAACATTGGCCATAAGCCTACAACTTAATACTTACCAATAATTAGAGGCATCTTAACAAAATTCATCAGCACTTGCTAATTCTCAATTTATAACAAGCGTACAATACAACGTATCAACCAAAATGTACTACGACGTCCTGCATAATTATATGAGAAATTCGACTATATCCGGCTAAATAGTTTTCTACTAAAATACTAATTTTCTCTTCTACAGTTACTGAAAACTCTACTAAATTACTGGGACTGCTAAACTAAAGTAATTAACCAACTCAGCATGCACGGGCGTTAAGGAATAAGGGAGAACTATGCACCCCTCGACATGCACAGGAACAAAGAAAGAACTAACAAATAACATGTGCCCCTCGGTACCATCTGCCGCTTCGTGCAGCTCGACACAAATAATGTGCTCCTCGGCATGCCTTGCAGCCTAATGTCGCTCGTAACCCAACACATGTATTCCGCGACACACCTTGCATCCTAATACCGATCAACGCCTAGCACCTGTGTCCCCCGACACTACGTGTCTTCAAAACTTTTGCACATATGTCATTGGTTCTATGACGAACATTAACCCAACCTCTAGTATCCTCCTCGACCACTAATTTCCGGCCAACAACATGGAATAACACAACGACATAACGACCACATCAACACAACTCCTAGTTTTCGGCCAACCGCTCGGAACAATGCAATGACTTAACGACCACATCAACAAGTGATAATCTAAACTAACCTATTCATCAATTACACCAGGCAGCACGCAGACAATTCATAAACGGCCATAACATGAAAAACGGCCAAGTTTAAGAAACAGATCCAGAATCATATGTATGACAAACATATATACGGCCAATCTCCACATAACATTCATCATAAGCCCATTATATAGTCAGAACCCCACCCTTACTTGGATTGAAGGTCGCTCTACAAATCTCTGACCGTAATCCTTGTCTTGCCTTGCTCGACAACTGTGCAACCTTACTCCTCTTCTGTGCAACTTTTCACGGTCAGCACACCAAGACTTTTTATTCTCCAAGTAACCAAATTTCTTATGTCAGCTTAACCTTATACCATAATTCGATTGGGCTTAACTTACACACCCCCACTTTACTACTTCCAACCAATAAAATAGGCCAAACATAATTATTCTATTAGTCTACTAATTCTAATATTATTATTATTATTAATCAACTAATTAATTAACTAATAATAATCTAGTATCTTATTCCAATAATTCACAACATCTCACAACTTCAATGAATAATTCGAAAATAATTAATTAAATAACGGGCGTTACAACTCTCCCCCACTTAGAATATTTCTGTCTTAAATTTTTTACCTTGTTTAAACAACTCAGGATAGGAGTCCCGCATCTTGCTTTCCAACTCCCACGTCATGCTTTCTCTGGCAGCTCCTAACCATACTACTTTCACCAAAGCAATCTCTTTGCCTCGTAGAGTCTTCATTTCATGATCTGCGATTCGTACAGGCATCGTCTCCATATTGAGATTATCCCTTACTTGCACATCATCCATATGAATCACATGAGATAAATCTGAAATATACTTCTGGAGTTGTGACACGTGAAACACATCATGCAAATTCGAAAGATTAGGCGGTAAAGCCACTCTATAAGCAACGTTCCTAACTCTGTCCGAAATCTGATACGTACCAATAAAATGAGGAGTGAGCTTCTTAGACTTCAATGCCCGCCCAACACCAGTCACATGTGTAACTCTCAGAAACATATGGTCACCTGCTTGAAATTCTAAATCTTTCCTTCGCTTGTCATGATAACTCTTCTGTCTACTTTGGGAATCTTTCATCTTTTCTCGAATTAACTTCACCTTCTCAGTAGTCTCTCGAACAATTTCAGGTCCAAGCACTACACTTTCTCCAGATTCATGCCAACATAAAGGAGTTCTACATCTCCACCCATACAACGCTTCAAAAGGTGTCATCCTAATACTAGAATGATAACTGTTATTATAAGTGAACTCTATTAATGGAAGATAAGTGTCTCACAAACCTCCTTGTTTAAGAACACACGCTCTCAACAAATCTTCTAACGACTGAATAGTCCATTCAGTCTGACCATTCGTCTGAGGGTGATACGCTGAACTCAACCTCAACTTAGAACTCAACGCCTCTTGCAAACTCTTCCAAAAATCTGAAGTAAAACTCGGATCCCTATCCGACACAATGCACAAAGCAGCTTTACAATTACACTAGTATAAATATCTGCCAGCTTCGACACTAGAAAACTGATGTTAATAGGAATAAAATGAGCCGAATTTGTAAGCCTATCAATAATCACCCAAATAGAATCATGTCCTCTTGAAGTATTAGGTAATCATGTCACAAAGTCCATCTAAATTCTATCCCATTTCCATTCTGGAACTTCTAACGGTTGCATCAACCCTGCAGGCTTCTGGTGTTCAACTTTCGACTTTTGACAAGTTAAACATGCATACACAAACCGAGCCACATCACTCTTCATTCCAGGCCACAAAAACAAATTCTTCAAATCTTTATACATTTTTGTAGCTCCCGGATGAATTCTCAACTTGCTTCTATGACTTTTCTCGAGAATCACTTTCTTCATCTCCACATCATCAGGAATAAAAATTCGATTATGGAATCTCAACACACCTTACGCATCTAACTTGAAATCACTATTCTCAGACTGATCGATCCCAACCATTAAATCTACCAGTTTCACGTTGTTGTACCCCAAAATTTTCCCTCCCATATTCTTCAAAGTTTTGACAAGCATCATCTCAATT